CGCTATGACAATTCCGAGTGGATTTCCTAACGACCTTCAGCTTCTGCAGTGAGAAGCGGTTACTGCTAGTCATGGGGGCAAAGGAGAACCGTTGCCCTCTGGATCTAACCCACAGTGCTTGACAATATTGATAGGTCACGCACACCATCAGTCAGCTCATCAGAGCCACGCCACTTCGAAGCATCACAAGGCGCTGCCTCATCACCCGGGTAAAGGGACGAAGGGAACATCTGGAAAATGGAAATGCAAGTGTCCTGGCTTCAATGGCCCAGGCTACGAGGTGGACGATGGTGAGGCGTTGCTATATGCATACCCTCAAGGGCGCCTTGCAGGCTACAGTCGAGAGTGGCATCACCCACCACGCCCTAACAGTCTCCCTCCCCCTCCGGCGGAGGCAGCAACAAATTGGGCAAACCACGCCTTCGTCGCATCCAAAATGGTGGAATTCGAATATGCGAAATCTTGGTCCGTCGATATGTCGTCAGGCCGACTCAGCTGCTGGCGACATCGAGGTTCTACGGGAGAAGACCCATGAGTAGATGCACTCATCCTGAGAACGATGGCGAGCACAGCCGGTCAGTTACGTGATGCGAACGCAGGATGATGCCAGTAGACTGATGCGATGGGCAGCCCTCATTGGTGAGCAGATGCAGAAGGACGGGCAGCATCTGGTCTGTGGTGGAACAGCCCATGGTCGCAGAAACTAGCCTTGCACAGGTTGACCAAATTGCTGAGCAAGCTGTGCATAGCCAGAAGCTCGCTCAGAAGATGGTGGACACAGCCACCAAGCAGGCTCTTATGGCCCATGTGATCTGTGCCACTACGGTGTGCGATTGGGGATTCTAGGTGTCAGACCCTTGCGACCAAGTCCCTCGATGCCGCTAGGAAGGCTGAGTTCGCCAAGGCAATGCAACATCTTGCTGACGAGCCGAAGAAGGCTAGCTTCGCAGTTAGTCCAGGAACGCCATATGATTCTCATGCTGTTATCATAGACTAGAGGTCATGGGCATCACAGCACTGCATTCAGTGGCACCGATAAGACAGAGCAGGACCTTTTCAACGCCTACCAAAAGGCAAGCCGCTGCCTCCACGAGGTTGGTCATCGGCACAGGAGCAGGCACTACGTTTCACGAAAATGCACGAGACGGACAAGTGGCGACATTTCTGGGGCTCTCGAATCAATAAGGCACAGCAGCTCTCTGGAGATCTAAAGTCAAAATCTGATGGTAGCACGCTGCCCGTTAGGGCGAATTCTTGGCAGTGCGTATTCTATAGGATACGTCTTTCTAACGAGACTGGCTGGGGAGCGCCTCTTGCACGATGCTGCCTTGGAGGCTTCCTCGGCTGTTGCCAGCGCTCAGCGTATTGTGAACCAAACAGCTGTGAAAGCTGCTCTAGCTACGAATGTGGGGAAGATGATGGACCGTATTCACCGGATCACTGGACGCCTTAGCTCATAGAACGTCTCCTGGCTCAAGCGTCGCATAGGGCAGCGGTCGCCGAGCACATGGTGACTCGGGCTGAGGCCGAGGCAACTAGAGCGGCGGAGATGGCACGCCAAATGGCCAATAACGCGAAGTCGAGCGGCATCGGTGGTGGCGTGTGCCGACTCTTATCTCGAAGGTACTCCCAGAGTTCTGCCATGCAGGCGGCAGCTGCTCAGATGGCACAGGCCATGGGCTACTCTGTGGCCCCACAGGGGGTGATGGACCGCAGCCATCCCAGCCCATGGCTCCTCAACAGGTACCGAGTCCCTTGACGCCTTTGCAGAGCGTCACCATCCGGGCACATGCAGGCGAGGGACTCAACGACTCGTGAGGTTTCCGCACTACGAAAATATGTTATGAATGAACACAGGTTTTGGTGGAAGCCGTATCGCCAGCATTGGCTCTACGACATCCAGACGCCGCCACCTGTTAAGCACCGCCAGGGACCCATGAGCTTCAGTGAGACGACATCGTGGTACACGTCTTTGGTGGATGGTTTCATAGGTACCAGCAGGGACAGTACGGAGGGATACCCAATCCCAACTCGGATGTGTATGGTCGATGTGTTATGGTGCACTTAGTGGCAACTCTTCAGACACGTCCGTTATGCTACTGTCACCCTCGTGGATGCAAACTTGGCAGTGGCGACTGTAAAAGCGAGGAGTGTTAAGCGGAACATGTGGAACGATTTTCTCACCATGTGATGTGGAACTTCCTATACGTCTTTTTGGAGGAGATTTCCGATTTTTGTTCGCAGTCTTTTTGGGGTTTTCCGTTGGTAAGATAAATCGTATTTGTCGAGCCGAAACCTCGTCCTGGTACGATTCCGTCGAACAACAACAACGCGAGTAACTTCAGGAACCCATTCTGCCCAAGGGTGTGCCAATGGTCAACCGATACATCCCCGAGTTGACATTTGCCGACTAACACGACGCATATAAATGTATGATATACCTTATTAATCCAAAATGTACTGAAGCTGCTATTACAGCATGAATTGCACTACAGAGGTAGGTCAGGGGAAAACCAACCCTGGCGATTCCTCAAGGGGGTACAGCCCAGACACGATCGGGAAAAGTGCCTACCAATTATCCACTCTCGCTGGAATGAGACGGTATATATGAGGATCTACCTATTGTGTTCGAACATACCCGAAAGACTTCCCCCCAACTGACTTCACTGGGCACGCAAAACAACAGTAGGTAAGAGAGCATTAGCGTCAGCTCACTGCTGGCCTCAGTTCGGCAATAGGATACGCTGCTGAGCTGTTAACCGGTACTAGCACTGGCAGCCGCCGTCCTGCTCTGTCAACTTCATAAACGTGCACCCAGGATCCCTCCCGCGTTCGGAATGCAACGCCAACTTGTGGGCCGAAGTCCATTAAGGCTGAGGCTTGTGAGATGATTGTCCCTGAAAATAGCATCTCATAGAGAGGCTTATGAACCAGTTTAGACGACAGTGTATTTCCACTTCAACGAAGGTCCCCTTCCATTAGTCCTCAGCGCGATAACGAATGCGAGTTGGCAAATCATGCCGATAGTACCTTTAGAAACCTTTTCCTTGTACGAACGACCCCAGTGACCGCCTCTAGCGCGAGATGGTGGGTCGACCCACAACGTGGCGGTGGCAGCAACCACCCTCCATTTGTCCATCGACATCAGCGGCCTACTAGGAGCTACTTCAGACGTATCTAACTGACGAGAGAACCTCGCGTTGTGGCAACCGTGGCTGTCTACCCTCCTCTCAATGCGACGCCGTGATGTGACTGGCTGCGGCTCTGACTCCTCACTGGATGAAGACGCTCCCTTTTCCACTGAGACGCTGCAAGCCCTCCGCACTTGGGCGCACCAAGGGGATAGGAACCCTACAACATACTCCCCTTCGTACACGAGCCTTCCCATTACCGGCTTCCTCCATTCCCCTATTTAAAAAAGGCATGAATCGGCCGTCCATCCAGCAGTAGTATATGTGTCGGCAAGCATCCTTTGTCCGCAAAAACCTGTTATGACCTAATCAGCATTCAACGCTAAGCGTGGTAATAACACCGTTTGATATCGTCAGGCAAGGAGTCGTTCTCTTTATGGTCCCGATACTTATCATTGTCAACGAAGTACCTGCGTATGTGAGTCCCTCTGTGCAGTTGTAATACAGTAGTACCCATCCGTTATCGAAGCTGCTATGATGGTGGAGAGGTCGTCACTGGGGCCAGGGTTAGCGTCGCATTTAGGAATGTCGTCGCACATTCTCCTTATGTCATTAGGAATGTCGTTGGCAAGCCCGTGCTGTACTATTAATTTTACCTGTCCCTCCAGTACTTCGATGAGACGCCTCACGGGTTGTTACCTCAGCATTACAAGCACGGAAGTATTTGATGCACTCTCTGGCGCCGTTCCAGTTGGAAGTCTTCTCGCCCAGGCCGAGACAGTTCTGGGCGTAGTCGTGGATCACATTCGCAGCGTTTATGACCACCTTCGGCACCCGCAAATCGATGGCGGGTCTATCTACCATTATTGGCACGAATAGAGTGAGAACAGTGAAGTATACAAGAAAGCAGCAAGTCGCAACGGAGAAGTTTCCAACCAGGCTGCCTCGTCCAGATGTTGCCTATCGCCAAGATAAGACGATGAACACAGCCGACTACGCTGTGCATGCGTAACTAAAGTCCATCCAGTTTACAGGAAACTCAATAGCAAGCATAAGCTCAATCGACTTGACTCAGCACGTTGACCAATAACTAGTAGACAAAGATAAGGTGAGGTCCCTAAGAGTCAGACCGATTGAAACTTGAAAGCTTCAAACCAAAGTACAACTCACAATACAACCAAAAGAAAGTAGCTCCGCAAGTGAGTGCGCCACAAACCAGTGTTTGCACCACTCAACGCAAGTTTCAAGTTGACATATACTTAACGACTGATGGCTGTATCAGATTTCGCCAACTCAGAAATCGCCAAAATGACGCCAAACAGATTCGCGGGCCTAACGACAGAAATTCTAGGTGATACCAGTGTTGGAACAGATTACAACAATGTGGTTAAATACGATACTCTACAACTGATTTGGACTAAGATTTGGTGGATTCTGCAAAATTCAACAGATGTGCAGTAATCTGCGTGTTGTTCTCATTCCGCCAACTTCAGTATTGGCAATAACTGCACATAGACAGGTCCCGCCAAGTTGGTCTTCTGCACAAGAATTGCCAAGTAGGTGATTTTAGGGTTGCGAAATATGGGCCGACCAGCGCGCGCCCTGGCTATCGACTCTCATTTTTATGGGGCACGCATGAGCACATGCCTGTTTTGGTGCCACCAAGTCGGTGGTGTCCAGCACTCCCACATGAACCCGAATGCGTCTACGTCGCGTGGTAGAGGCCACCGTAAGATGACTCGAAATTCGGGCAACCGAAGGCGAAGACCTACCCTTGTTAGCCCTCGTCTGGCACGTATACGGGGGAGGCTTCGCAGAAGGAGACGTCGTCCAGCAGGCAGGCCTCTTCGGGAACGGAGAAGGTCGTATACGATCATGTTCCTTAATATACGACATATATTATATGTGGCTTTTCTTCATCATCTCTCATCATCTAGTATGCCCCGACGTAATGTGCCTTCAAGGAACTATGCATACCTCAGCCTGTCCATCTAATATTGTGACCGGTTATCATGTTGTTTAACAGAAGGTCCCCCGGCTGCAGACCAGGAGGCGGTCTAGTGATGGTTTGATAATGTTAGTTTGTGCTGGTCTTGTCTTTCGAGAACGAGACCCCCTTCTAGCCAGTGTCTCCGAGGGTGAGGTCATACACTAGTCATTGGAGTTTGTACAAGATCATTATATCAAGTCTCAACGTTGGTTCATCTCCATAGATGGTGGTAATGGAGCAGGGGCCAATTCACGCCGTCAATTAATTATTCACGACTCTCAGCATGGCTCGCGACTCGGCTACTTCTCTTAGTCTTCGAGGTCAGTTACTGCTTGCAACGACACTCCACTACTACTATTACTGCTACTTCTTCTTCTTCGTTATCTCCCCACGATGACGATTCTGTGACGAAAATTTCTGTCGCTGATCCTGAATGGTTTAAGGTGAACCCTCAACGAGTAAGCGTATGAGGTGCTACAACTTCTGGACGCGATGAGGTCGTTCTGTTCATCTCGAGTGTGAATTTCAATTGAATCCGAGAGCTTCCACACTGTGAAAGCTCTCGGATTCAATTGGTCTTATTTCCTATCGGTATTTTTGTAGTGAGTCTTTACATTGTGAAGACAATGTGAAGCTCACAATGCCCAGCTAGGACCGGTCAACAGTGTCATGATAAGTTCCGTTTTCTACTGTCTTCCGGTAGGTAGGAAGTTTCGCTTTTGTGTTCTATACTGTGTTGCTTTTCAGGAGAAGTTGAGTCTTGGAGGACCTTATTCTGTTTGAGTTTATTGTTGACAACTCGCTCTCACTCAAGCCCGCCCCCGATAGTCGTGTCGATCGCTCTATTACTAAAACGTCGGGTTCTGTTAATTCATAATCTCGGAAAAGGGTCTCTTTCAGGTCTGATCCTCCATTGGCGAGGCAGCTCACGTTCGGGTATATTATACTGAACTGATCAGTCTGATCAGCTCCAGCGGGCATGCGACATAGTACAAACAACGCTGCCGAGGCCCTGCACGGTGCCCTGAAGTGTTTCATGGGTCATCGCCGTTCACATGAACGATTCTTCATCCATCAACTGAGAAAGCACAACGAGCGGATGCGCATCAAGCTCCGAATGGAGGATGGTGAGCCTTGAATAAGGCGGTGGCCTTTCAAGGCTGAGGGAAGGCGAGTGAGTTAATCTCATTAGTTGGTGTTGTTTTTTTGATGGTAGTGTTGACTCGGAATTCAGAATCCTTGTGTTAATCACATGTCAATAGTCCCCGGAGACAAGGTGTTCGTTTGGTCAAACTTCTCTCTAGACCGCCAAGTTCGTCAGGAGTGTTCGGTCGTCAGTGTTGAGGACGACTGGTATGCCGGAGAGGACGATCCTTACCTGTATCGTCTTCAAGGAGACCGTGATGGTGAGGAGTTGGTAGTTGAAGGCGAAGAAGGCCTCTGTCCGTTAATCGGCAGAAAGCGAGCCTTGTGGGGCTATGCTGAGTGTTGGAGCAATTTCCGAGGTAACACAAGAACTGAGTAGTGTAAAATACACGTTTTAAAGAGGAACAAGAGCTGGTTATTTTCTAGGTTTAGCTGTTCACTACGTTCACGGTGTCTTATGGCAATTGTTGCGCTGTTACCAATAAGGTCGTTTCGGGACGCAACGACTGGTAATGGGGTAACCAGGTAACGGTAACTAGTAACCGGTAACTGGTTGGGGACAACACCTTGGTCACTAGATACACCCCATGGAACTTGTGCTTCTGGAACTTAGAGCTATGTACTGTGGCCGAAGAGTCTCTTTTAAAGGCAACTTTGTCGCCCACCTGAACTCAAGTCACCAGCACTAGGATACTATCCTGTTAGGACAACCTACCTGAAACACCTCTTCAGGCTCCATATCCTCTCTATGATCCAGCGCTCGCTTTCCTGCCACCTGCTTGATGTATTGTGACCCAATTTGTTGAACCTCCTTCAAGTGCTGCCGCAGTCTCTCCAAATA